GTGTTAGACAATATGGTTTGTCCAAGCTTCAGATGAGAGACATTGTAACTAAAATCTTTGCACAGGTCCATTATTATTTCCTTGGGATAAACTCCTAAAAGAATTGTTATTAAAGAGTATGAACCTTTGAAAGCTCTAATTTCAGGTTTCTTCCCCCAAAGGTTGTGCCAGTTCATGGTGCCATCCCTGGGACCACATGTAACATCTTTTCTTTTAGTCTTCCCTACCTTAACTGGAAAACGGTGCCTCGTGTCATTTTATTTCTTTTGCTACTAACATATTGAAGACTTTTCATCTGTTCATCATTCATCTTATGTTCTGTAAGTTCCATTTTATATTCTCTCCCTCTATTTTTTTGATGTGTCCGTTTTCTTATTGATTTGTAGGAATCCCTTACATGCTAAAATATTAAATTTTTGACATGACACAAATATTCTCTGCTTTATATCAACATCTTTAGATGGTACAACGGTGTTTTTGTGTTTGAGAAGTTTAATTTGTAATTTATTTTCATATCAAAGTTTTCAAGTTCTGTCTAATCAAACCAATCCATCTTTTTTCCTCTTTGATTTTTTTTGTCTTTAATGCCTTTCCCCACTGCAATCCTCACAAAGATATTCATTGTTCATTTTTTAAAAATAATTTAATGCCTTCATTTTTCTCTTCATTGTAAGGGATTGTATTATGTACTGTAGTAGAACAATGAGCTTGAATGAAGAATAGTTTTCATCATTTCACTTTTAATTACTCTGGGCTGTTTCCACCCCCTGACTTTCAAATCTTCTGGAATCCCAAGGAATGTTCCAGCCAGGTCAGCTTCCGATTGCCCCTCATTCCTAGTCTATCTCAGTTTACCACTCTGATCAGAGGCACCTTGGATCCCTAGAGAGACAGAGGAGCCTCCTGGGGCTTAGAGGAAAGCTGTATTCTAGAGGGAGGTCTGCTTTTCTTCTGGGCTGTCTGTATCTGCAAACTCTGGCTTCCTGGAGGCATTTAGGCCAGGCTGTGGGACCATGGTGTTGGAACCAGGGCAATTTGGGGAGGACTGACTCCCCTGTTGCCCTGTCCCAGCCTGTGGGCTTTGACCCACCCCAGAGCACCCTAGTGTGGCAAGGTGAGTGCCAGCTCCTCAGACAGCACCTCACCCCTAATTGTTATCAGTGTGAATCAAAATATCCCCTTCCTCCTTTCCCAGCATAGGAAAGACGGAGGTGGGGGAGTGCTCGGGACCCAGCCACATCCGTTCACCTCCTCAAACAACCTTATAACCCCAGAGCATAAAGGGCCTCAAGAGCACAGCACTGCACACTCTTGCTTCTTCAGATAAAGGTCTGAGGCTGCAAAGTGGGGCAGTTCCCAGGGATAGCAGAATCCCACCTGCAGGTGGAGAGTACCATGCTGGATTCATTAACTCACCCCTGCTGTGTGCCCAGCAGAAGCACAGAAGTGCTGGGGAAATTTAAAAAGTGTCTGCAACTTCGCTCCCTGCCCTTCAAGAATTCATTGTTCAGTTGGAAGACAAATGTGTAACAACTAATAGTGTGTATTATGGACATATTTACAGAGGTGCTGATTGGGTGCTGGAGAAGTACCAAAGAAAGGTGACTGATTCTGGCAGAAGGGGCAGGAAAATGAGAGAACTTTCTTGGGGAGGTGATATTGGAACTGGACTTTAAAGAAAAGGCTGGTGTTTTCTGTGAAGGCAAAACATGGCAGGAGCAAAGGCACAGAGACCAGAAGTTGGGTGCATGTTTGAGGACTGGAGGGTGGTTTGATAGGCAATAGGTGCAGGGTGTTTCCTCTGAGCCTTCTGCTGCTGCGAACTGACCACTCCCAGTCACCCTCTCCTTGCACACCACTCTCCATCTCTGCAAAAGCACTGTTTCCTTCTTCTATCCCCAAGGGAATGAGAGCCCCCATCCTCCCTCTGCACCAGATGCTTCTCTCTCTGCAGTGCCTTTCACAGCAAATTCAGAAGAGAGATTTAGGCTTTGAAAAAAAATTAAAATACATGCCTGCAGTTGGGAAAAGAAATCAAATAGTATAGAAGATAAAAGTAAAATAAATAAAGAAATAAAAGCCACAAAGTTTTAATCTCTAAGTATCCAGAGTCTTGTGAGTGCTAAAGATTTATTTATTATCTTGAAAATGATGGCCATCAGAGATTTTAAAGCGGGAGAATGAAAGGGATTTGGAGAGAGAGGGACTGGAGGCCTCAGGTCAGTTGGGAAATTACTCAGGGAAGAGGTAGGTGCAGGGTGTTGCCTCTGAGTGTTGCTTGTGCTTGGGCGGTAACAGGGACAAAGAGTGGAGGAAGGAGGGAGGACACAGGGGATCCACACATCAGGTGGCTGCAGAGGTGGAAGGGAGAGGAGAGGAAAAGCCGAGAAGGGAGTTTCTGGTTTCTCCAAGAAGCTGCTCTATCTATCAACCATAAATGCAAAAAAATTACGTATAATACTTAATCACACAATCATGTTAATTTCTCCTTTAAAGCACAAAGAGCCAAAGCTAGCCAAGTCTATGCTTTTAAAAAAGATCACATGGAGAAGGTGCAGTGCTGTGCTATGCATTTCAAAGTCACTTCTTAAATGAAATAAAAATGATAAACATGTGGGCTGAGTTTATAGCACAGTGGTAGAGCACTTGCCTGGCATGTGTGAAGCACTGGGTTTGATTCTTAGAACTACAAATAAATAAATAAAAATAAAGGTCCATTGACAACTTAAAAAATTTTTGTTTTAAAAAAATGATAAATACACAGAATTATAAAATGGTTTTTGTATATCAGTATCTCTTAAAGTCCCCCCCTCCCTGGTTTCTTGGATTGAGGCAGTCTGTTTAATGGCATCAGGCCAAAGGGGGACATACCAGGGTTAATATGGGGTAAGAAGGATTGGCGGTTGGGAGAGTCAGGCCAGAATACAAGTGAGGTGAGCTGTAGGGAAGCCAGCATGCGTGTTCCAAGGCTCGTGTTCTAGTGGCCCAGAGGCATCATCTGCACGTTGGTCAATCCCCTCACTGTCAATGAACTTGAGATAGTGCAAGCTCAGTACTGTACTTGCACAAGTGTGCGAAGATCAGAGTGGATATTTCTTTATAATTCTTCTATAAAAGGGACTTGATCGGGGCTGAGATGCTATAAAATATAAGAATAGTCCTTACTCTCTCAGAATTTACTGTCTGATTCAAATTCAATCACAGGGTGCTGAAAACATATCTTTAAACAGCCATGATGTTTACTTAAAAGGGTGGGGGTGGCTACAGTGCAGGGACTCTCTATGGAACTATCAGCTATATTTTAGTGGTCCCTCAACATCCACTGGGGATTGGTTCTCCCTGCAAGGGAAGATCCATGGATACTCAAATCTCTTACATAAAATGGCAGAGTGTGTGCATATAACCTCTGCACGTTCTCCTATATACTTTAAATAATCTCTCTATATAATATAATCTCTATATTATTTATAATACCTAATACAATGTGCATGCTATGTAAATAATTGTTAGACCTAATTGTTTAGGGAATAGTGATAAGGGGAAAACCTGTACATACATGTTTAATACAGATGCACTTTTTAAAATTGCATATTTTTGATCTTAGGTTGCTTGAATCATGAATGCAGGACCCTCTGACATGGAGGGCCAACTGTACACTAAAAGTAGATTTTGCACTTCAACAAATTTTCTTCTCTATTTCTCTCTCTTAACAGATAATTTTCAGGATCAGATGAAGAGGGAACTAGCTTACCGCGAGGAAATGGTGCAACAGTTACAAATTGTAAGATGAACTTCTACTTAAAAATAGATGCAATTTGATGGATTTGTTTTCAAACCCCCCCCCAATATGTATGAAACCGTTCCTGTCTTTTCCAGGGAGTCCTTGGGTCCACTTACCTCTCAGCTGGTTTATATGCTAATTACCAAGAGATTTACTTAGGAAACAGGGTAAACAGATGTGTCAGTGTGCTTCCTCTAAATGTAACTACCTACCATGTGTTAATAGACAGATGCGTAAATTGTCTCTGTGGGCGAACTAGAGGTGTCTGATGTTTCCTTCCACCCAACAAACTTCCATACCTGGTGCTGCGCTGCGTGAGAGCACAGGGAGGGGCCCCTCTCTCCTGCCCACCCCTCCTTTCCTGACCCACACCTGAGCCAGGCCCTCCACAGTCAATAGAGCTTAGTATACACACAATTAACCAATTGCATTCACTTGAGGGATAATGAAAAGAAACATTATTTTCAAATAAAGTGTGTTACTCTATCCTAATCATTCTTCAAAGTAATCTATTTATATAGGAGAAGAAAAAAAAAAACAGAAGGATATCTGATAAATGTAGCAGCTTTGTTTGGGATTTTTGTTTGTTTTCTGAAGTCCTTGCCCTTTGTCCCTGCACAGACACATCTGGTATTATTCATTAGTGCTCTCAAAGGGTTCTGCCAAGCTTCCTCATTTTCATGAGTACAATAGGGAAACTAATTTCTGCTCAATATTTTCAAGATATTTTTAATCACCTGGATAAAGACATGTGCTGATCCTTAGTGGTATTACCAGCATGATTATTATAATTTGGGTTGCTTGACATTTTTGAGCTGATCTGTTACCCTTGTACCAATTAGGTGTGGGTATCTGTGCATCTTGTTTCAGACTAGGTATCTAGTCTCTGTCACAATTAAGAAACATGTTTTAATGTTTCCTTTCTGCATCTGTTGTGCCTGTGTTCATGGAGATTCCTTAGAATTATTCTTAAAGCAGTCTTGGATTTCATCATGTTTTCCTGAATTCTGGGGGCACTGTACATAAGATGACGTTACAAGGTGCTGCTTGTAACTCTCAAAACAGCCCATTTGGTTTTTTTTTCTGACTCAGTCCCTTAATGACAGCTCTCAGTTCTGAAAACGTCTATACAAGGTGCCCCTTAAATAAGACCTTATCTTATGTTAGTTTTGTCAGTCAGTCTTGTATGCACCTAAATTCACTATGGAGAAGATAATTTTCTTAATCAATTGGTAATAAATCCCTCATAGACAGTAAAAAAATGTATCTACTATCGTCAGTTTTTTATTTCTAGATAATAAGTGGTATAATTACTTGCTGTGAATATACCTATTGTTTTCTTCATCCAAAGGAAGAATTTGAATATAAGCAGAGAGATATAAAAATTTTAGACCTTACTGATTTTACATAGGGCATTATTTTCATATTTTTTAAATTGCCATATATGAGACCAAAAAAAAAAAAAAGTGATTTCAGGGCGGTGGTGAATATAGCAAAATTGGCATTAGAAAAGGAAACAAAATATTTATTTTATTTCCCTTTTCAAGGCTATCTATATAAACTTAATGTCTTTTTTATATTTGATTTCTTTAGCAAATAAGCAGGTGGTTTGGATGGAAGAAGAAAGGTCTCATGTCTTTTGAGATAATTGGCACCTGGAAAATATGAGTTGGTATTACTAAACATTTTTATTAGACTGTATTACAAAATATTTTATCATCATGTATCTGTGGATCTAGATGAGTCTAATTCATCCCTAACAAGTTAAATAGTTACACAGAAGCTAGAATTTTCTCCCCAACCCTACAGGTACAATTCCTGAAATTCACAAAACTATATTCCTATGATCAACATGAAAAATTGGTGAAATAGACATGATTCATCCCTCCTGCTTCTTTCTCTCTTTGGTATCCCACTGCCTCCAGCCCCTAGCAGGGTCTCGCATCAATGAGTTAGAAGTAGACCTTTGCCAAATGAATTACCACCCATGAACTTACCTGACCTAACTCTGATGCTTTCATAGAACAGTCCCTTTAACTCTTAATGTCCCTGGCTTGGTCCTGACTTCCTCAAATGTTCTTTTACCTGCTATGCAACTGCTGCCACAACTAGTAAAGTAAAGCATACCTGTGAGTTATGGGGAGCTGGTGTATTAGTACTGTGCTGTCAGCAACTAGCAGACGTAAGCGCTGAGGTCTGTAAACTTGGCTCAAGGCCCATGTTGTCAAGTTTGTTTTTTTTTTCTCATAAGAGAATTGTTGTAAGGATTGATCTTTTAGGGATATTATAAGGTGCAAGTGAGTAATAAACAGGAAATGCACATGCATAAAATGCTAGGGCAGTGTACAAGTAGTGTCTATAATAGTTGAACCAGTTAAGCCTCGGTGGCTGGAGAGATTTTTTAAACAGAAAGGATCTGTGTTTGTGTTACACTATCTGCTTTAGAACTGACACAGTGTGACTTGAATAGTGATATATCTAGTTCCCTTATTCAGCTTTATGTATCTGCTAATGTACCTAGGGGAAAGTGTCTTTTAGAAATTCCTATCTGAAGATTATTAAAGAGTTGTAAAGTATCACAGTTATTGGCTTTCTCAAGATTTTAGTTGAATGATCTCATCCATCAGTAAATATCATTGTGTACATTGCTTTCTGAGAACAGAACAATCCACTCAAAATCATTTTATACTTAAAGTTTACAGAGTGCATATTACAGAATAATCATTTTTTCTATAGATGAAATAAAAACCAATCCTATCTTGCAGTCAAACATATTAAAATCATCATATTTTGTAATGACTCCCATAGACCCACAGTGGATTTATCCTATGTGTTACACAGCGTTCCTATTCTAAAGACTTATATGGAAAGCATCACGGGTATCATTGCCATAAAAAGAAAACTTCTGAATTTCTTTGGATCCTACATTTATAGATTCTCTGCTGACTATCATTTCTGTGCTAGTGCATATTTTTCTAGTTTGTTACATGTAAAATTGTGGTGACCATAGAATCAAATGATAGACTCTCCTTGTGCATTTATACATAAATATGCATGTATCTCAATGCCAAGCTTAAAGCATATGTAGAATAGTTTATTTAACATTTATTAAGGAACACAGGCTAACACTTTAAAAAATAGCTTAAAATTTGAGTTTCAAAGTATTTAACATAGTTTGTGTTAAAATCCTGCATCTCTGCTCTGGGTTTTCAAATGCTTAAAGCATTCTCTTTATTAGACTGGATTTATTTACACACACAAAAATAAAGTCCTCTCACTAGGAACCCAATACAAATTTTTAGAATTTAAGAAGTTCATGAAAATGTAAATGTTTAGTATAATAAAGGGTAAAAGATCCCTCATTCACAAATGAATTGTGATTCTAGGGAAAATATGTTCAATTAAAAAAAATTCCATCATCCCTTTGGATTACAAAGAAGCTGAAGATATTTTATTCAGTGAATAACCCTTTGATTAGTGTTTCCAAGAATGGATTATAATGATTTACAACATGAACTGAGACTATTAGGATGCCCTGATAATCTTTTTTTTCCCCATTGCTTATTTGGTAATAATTTTTTAAGCAGTGCATCTCTGTATATAAACTATTACTGCAGTTTTTTTTGTGGAAAACATGCTGTTTTCCTTTAAAAAAAATTTTTTTGATCCTCGTCCTTGAAGGACATTGTGAAGCTGCAACACAGCACATGGTTAGGGCTAGACCCAGATTCTCTCCTCCTTGGAACTTGCAGGATAGCTACCGCAAAGCACCAAGACAAAGCATATGTTCTAGTCTTGAAGTGCCCTCTGCTGTTTTTCCAGAATGCTGCAGTCACAAGCAGCTAGGGGAACTGGTCTCAAAAGTTCTTCATTAAAAGCCTCAATTAAAATAATGTTCAATCAATAGATTTAGTACTAATGTTTCATTCACTGTGGACTTGTAAAAAAGCAGTTTACCACTTCCCAATGGTGAGAGCACAGTGCCTCTTTGCAGAGAAAGGAGCAGTAGGTCTTTCCCACTGCTGTTGAGCGCTGGCTTTGGATAAGGGCTCAGCTCCTCAGTGGAATGGACTTTTCTTGGAGTTTCTCCAGTATTCATTAGGATGGAACTTACCCAGATTCTTAGTCTCAACCCAGAGAGTTTGTAAAAATATGTTTTACATGTTTTGAAAAAAATAGATCAAATAGTTACTGTTTTCAACTGTACTTTTAGAAAAAGATTCCTAGGCCTCTAGAGGATTTTGCTTATTTATGGCTGAGTATGTGTCAAAGGAGATCCCTGCAGGTCAGGAGCCTTGATACAAATCTGAACTTCTGTGGAAGCTTCCTTAAGATTTTAAGATTTTCTAACAGCAGAAAGATTTTGACTGTTTGACTCCTCCGTGCCTTTTTCCAATTATTCATCTATTGCCTTGCATCTTAACAATGATCAATTTCCCTTAATTCTATAGCCTTCTCATCATTCTTTCTCTGATCTCTTGACTCACCTGAGTGAACTCAGGCTAACTCTCTCTTAGTACAAAGTAGGAAAGTTGAAAGACTCCAATCCCTGTCTTTTTTGCACTTCTAGGGATCAAATCCAGAGGTTTCAGGGTCTACAATCACTCTACCTACCACTCAGCTACATTCCCTAACCAACCCCAATACTTTAGCTCAATTAGAGTCAACTGGGCAACTTAGAAGTGACATAACATTTTAATTAATGAATTAGTTAATTAATTATTTTTTTTGTTCATGCCAATCTGGGTGATTTCCAAACTGGCCAAAATGAAAAGAAAACTTCTGTAAGTCCTGTTGTAGGAGATGTTCATGGAATAATGGCTTAAATTGAACTTCTAGAATCCTGAGCTTCTGGAAGTTGGGAAGAGTTTGCTGATGTGTCTATAAATCCAATATTGCATTTTATGGAATATGAAACACCATCAATTTTAAGAGGCACGTTACTTGGCGAATTACAAGAAAAAAATTTTTTTTCAACCATAATTTTAAGAGGCCATAATTATAATAATTTGATTTAAGAGATGTTAAAATGTGAGGAGGAAACATGTATCTTGGAATCAATGAAATAACCTAGTTTTCATGAACAAGTAGGTCATTTGCTAATGTAATTTTTCTTTAATTTTTGCTTTTTGATTTTTTGTTGTTTTTGGTTTTTATTTCTTTTTGTTTTAAGAAAATAAATTTAAAAATTAGTGTTTGTGTGAAGATAATTCTCACAGCAGTTTAAATTTCATTCTGGGGCTTTGGGGAGGGACATTTGAAAACATCCTTTTTCTCTTTTCTTTCTCCACTTTTTACCTTAATAAAATGCTACATTGTTTTTTCTGGAGGAAAAAACACACACAAAGGAGAGAAAAAGGCATTTTGACTTAGCTGTGAGAATAGGGACCTATTGGCACTTTTCTTTGGGTTAGGGTAAATAGTTTACACACTTGTACGGTGACTCATGGTGATGTTGACTTATCTCTCATAGTGCCTGTCACAGAACAGACAATAAATCTGTGACATCCAATCCTGATGTTGAGGACTCTTTCTAAATGTGAAAATGTCACAATCCAGGGGCGGTGGTGCTCTCCTGTGATCCCAGAGACTTGGGAGGCTGAGGCAGGAAGATCACAAGTTCAAGATGAGCCTTAGCAACTGAGCAAGATCCTGTCTCAAAATAAAAATAAAAAGAGTTGGGAAATGTAACTCAGTGTTAGTGTGCTCGCCTAGTATGTGTGAGACCCTAGGTTTAATATTCAGTACCCCTTCAAAAAAAGTTATGGGTAACTCATTGTGCCCAACAGTTTATGGTTATCCTAAATAATTGCATTCAATACTCTGTTCTATTACACATCTACCCAGAGAGGTGATTCATGAGCTTTGGCTTATTGCAGCATACACCATAATGGAAAGGCAAGATTCAAGGGTGTCTCTGTTAACAGCAGGTGTAGCATGACCTCCAGTGAAAAGAAGAGGTAACAAGAGTAGATCCCTGTGTAACGGTCCTTGTCATAGTTAGCTAGCTGATCTCAGCCCACATCCTAAGCTATGAGATTAGAACACTGAACTTTTTATGTCGATACATGAATCATTTATGTCAATGCTGCTATCTATGTCCTTTATCAGACATGTGCCCATCCAATGTGTTTCGTTTGTGATCGTGCATCAAAATAGGGGACTTTTAATTTTCTCCTTTTTTCTCATTAAAGAGATTATTTGATTCAATTGACCTATTTTTATGGTAAAATGGTCCAGCTCACCTTAGTCAATAACATCGTTGTGTAAATTTGAAGCTCCTTTCCATTAACAAAGATTTGTATTTATGGACTGGAAGATCAAGACAGTAAAACACACCAATGTACTGAGAATGTGAAAATGTACATCACCGAATTCAAAAGCATTGCCTAAAAATTTAAAATAATTTTATTTCCCTTCCTCTTTTAAAGTAACATCCATATTTTCATGTTACATTCTTTTTTTTTTTTTTTTTTTTGGTACCAGGGATTGACCTCAGGGGTGCTTAACCACTGAATCATCACAACCATTGTTCTATTTTGTTGTTGTTGTTTGTTTGTTTGTTTTTAATTTAAAGACAGAGTCTCACTGAGTTGCTTACAGGCTCATTAAATTGCTAAGAAACTTGTGATCTTCCTTCCTCAGCCTCTCTCCCAGACAGGTGTGCACCATCACACCGGCTTTATGTTACATTCTAAAAGGCCAAATATGTATTTCTTAAATAATATTTAAAATAGGTAAAATCTCTAAGATCTTGAGTTTAGTCTTGTAATGATGCAGGTGGGTAACACAATGATAAAGGACTTTAACTGAGGTTAGAGGAGAGGATGACCATTTAAATTTTCTAATTAAAATGTGATGGGTTTTCATTAACGACCTCAGTATTCAAAAGTACTCTTTGAGTTTATCCAGGTAGAATTCTCAAGGGTCATATTTTCCATTCACTACAATTTTTTTTTTCTGGTGCTTCTTATCGGTTATTGGAAATTTACCCAGAGTAATCGTTGGTGTTTAGTTTTACTTGTGATTTATAATGATATTATATTTTATAAAGAAATCACTCAAATAAACTGAAAGATTGCACTGAACTAGTTAGTAATCACATTTTTGCTGTGACTTTGGACATATAGTATTGTAATTCACTTTTCAGATCTAAAATAAAAAAATAATAATACCACAGTATTAAATGCAAAATTTCAAAAACTTTTTTAAATGAAATGTTACCTGTTAACCTCAGGGACTAGCTGGACAGCACTGTGATCACCCTTTCTGTCCTTGATGGGTTTTTAAATGGGACATAGGAATGCTGTACCCTTAGAAGTTCCTACTGCTGAGCAGGTGGGGACCTTCTCCTCGAAGTTTCATTGACATTCAAATTGTTAGGCATGATGACAGGTCTCCACTACACATCTGCCTCCAAATCAGCTCACCTGGATGGTTTTGCTTTTGTCTTACAGATCCCCTATGCAGCAAGCTTGATCAGGAAAGAAAAGCTTGGTGCCCATCTCAGCAAAAGCTAAAAGGTGAGATCGCCAGAGGAAAGGGATTTTTAACAGTCCGGGTTGTTATTGCTGACTGTACTCTTGATTGATGTATTTGAAATAGCCCAAGGGATTCGTAAAGTTGTATCCTGTGTTTAAGTCAATACACTGATGAGCTTTACTATATCTGGGAATGAGACTTGATATGTGAATGACTAAGTGCTTCTTATAAATTCCACAGAAAATTCCTGAAAGTAAGGAAGTTCTCTACTCAGTCTGCAGAAGTGATGCTCATTCTATCTTGAGATTTTCTGCTCTTTAGGGTTCTCTCTGACACCCTTGTTTCTACCCCTTGGAAATGTCACCAGTCATGCTTTTATCGTATCTCATCTTTTCTGTCTTTCCTTTGCTTCTGAAAGGTCTTCCTGAAGTCTGACTTTCAGTGGGTTATACTGCAGATGGTGATATGAACAATTGGGGGGCAGTTTGAGACCTTCTGTTTGTTCTTTCTCTGAACCTATAAGAGTTTTTTTATGCTAAAGCCAGATTCAAAGTCACATCCTGCAATAATTTAAAAGACAAACATTCTGAACTCTTAAGGAAAAACTGTGAAAATTCACTGATTTTATTCAGAACATGCCTAAGCATTTCAAAAGCAACTTTTTGATTCCATGAAAGAATACATGTGTTTATTAGAATTGTAGGAATGCAAAAACTAAGACATGATTGTTTCTATACCCATATATTGAGACGACAATTGAATTTGCCAAATCAGGGGGAAAAAATCCAGACCAGAGGGTGGAATTTGTCACTGCTCATGGCCAACTAGGATTGTGGCCATTTATCAGTTCCATTCCCAGCAGAATAATTTTTCCTACTCCTTTCCTCTGGAACATGTTTTCAACTCAATAGGATTTATTGGCCAAAAAAAGAAAGAAAGAAAGAAAGAAAGAAAAAAGAAAATTTCTCCCAATGCAGGCTCACAATTCTTCTGCCTATCATGTTTCCTGTTCCTTGCACAGATGACAATCCTACTTCTTGCCATCATCTTTATTAGTGACCATTTTCAGTATTTGTCTTAATTATAATGATAATGGAATTTTATCAGGCACTCTAAGCCCTCTCCCAAACATTCTCATTTGTACACTTTCCCTTAATGTTACAAATGGGGAACTGAGGCACAGGAAAGAAAAATGTGATATGCAGTGTCCATGCTGCAAAGCCAAGAAAAGATTCTAGGGCTCTCCACTTTAGAAGCTTTACCCAACATATGAACTTCTTATCCTTACGGAACAGATGTTTCTGCAACAGAGATGCCCAGATAGTAAATCGTTCTGATTCCACCACCACGGAATGATACACAGATGTGCCTGAATTTGGCTCTGTTCTCTATATTAAAGTATTTGTATTAAGTCTGAAGTTGACTTTGGATGGTTTCTTTCCCATTATAGTTAGAGGAGGTTTGCACCAGCAGTATGAAATGAAAAATTTAAAACATTTAGATTCCAGATTCAGAGTATCAAGATAACCAAGGCAAGAAAGAATGATCCAAACTAATTCTGATAATACCACATGTATAATAGCCAAAAGTGTCAAACTAATCTTCTTTCAAATAAAAGATGAAATATTAACACGTGTTTCAAAATAACCTTTCTGTTGAAGTGTAACACATCCGGCATAATCTATATATCATAAAGTCATATGAGTCATGAAGTCTCCAGATCAAAGTTCAATGGATTTCCACCTAAAAACTCAATTTTTACATTTGTAGCACCCAGTAAGCACCTGGTGACCCCATATCCAGTTTCTCCCACCTAAGACAATTTTGCCTGCGTTTGAACTTCATGCGAAGGTCATGGTATAGAATGTTCTCTTGTGTCTGGAATTTTTTTTTTTTACTCAGCATTTGTGAGATTCACCCATTAGAGTGTGGTTTGACTTATACAAAGGAGCTTCAATAAACTCTCCTTTTACTCCTTCCACTTCCCCAACTCATCTTCCCTGCTTGTCAGGCATGAGCCCATCTTGCACCTACCAAATGAAGACTCGCCTCCCTCAAACCACGCCCCTGATGGTTATAGAGCGAACAGCGAGGTGGAAAAAAAGAGATTGATTTGTGTTTAGTAACTAATGCTTCCTCCATGCTGATTTTGTTTCCATCTTTGCAGACAACAGGGATTTCTCTAAGTAGACCCTGGTGCTTTCAGAAGATTAGTGGTTACTTAAATGCTTAGCTAAATCAGCCAGGCAGAGAATCATGGCCATATTGTTAGAGCCAGTCTCTGATTCTCAACATGCCAAGCCTGCAAGGAGTTACCCCAAGAGAGATTACAAAATAAAAATCATTACACTAGGGGAGAGAGACAAATTCTGTCTTGCTGAGTGACCACAGGTTTCCAAATTAGGGATTGATGCATTAATGTCTTATGCAAGAGTGACCCTTAAGGTGGTGTGCTGTGTTCTTGCCACCCAGTGGATTCCAATATGCCTATTAAGGGAAGGAAGCTTTTCAAAACCACAGGCAATCCACTTAATAAGCTGAGCAAGTACTGCCACATATCACTGCTCCACAAATCTTTTTTGCCCTGTGTTAGAACATAAGAAATTCCACGTTGAGTCAAAGGAAACAAACACCCCAGCCAAGATACTGACTGTATAACTCATCAGAAGAGCCAAGTTACTGTGATTAATGATATCACCCTAAAAGTTGAGGCATATACACATAATACTCTTAAGTTGCCCTCGATAACTCCTTAAGTACTCATTACCCATGGATTTATTTAAACCTTTCTTCAACCTAGGCATAGCCCCCTTTGGGGCAATGAATTCTATTTGTTTAGCTACCAGCTGTGTAAAGTGTAGTTTGTTTAATTTATCTTCAAGTCACCTCCTGAAACAGGCCCTATTAGATCAGACATTGTTCTGCTCTGTGTATTTGTCACATCAAGAGCTCATGAGTACAATAGAAAGGATTTGAAGAACATTTCAGAATGTCTTTGTGTTTCACAGTTTCATCTGAGTCTGTTTTTAAGCCCAGAAATATTCCTAATGGCTTTCCTTGACTCTACTTATTTCTCTGAGGCAGTTCCTGCAAAGATACCCCAGTATCATCTGTGTGAAATCTGTGCCCCAAATAAAAATGGCATGATGTCAACACTAATTTATTACTTTACATTTGTTTTCTTTCAAGCACCTTTAAGTATTTTTCAAATATCATTCACATAACAGGTTGAAACACCTGTCTTTAACAGAAAAGAATTAAATTATTTTCCATAATGAAAAGAAAATTAGAGAAGATGACTCATTTATAGTTATATACATAACTATAAATAGTTATCTAAATAAGTATAAATACCCATTGACCAGGTTGGAAATGATAATTATCATTTATCAGGCACTAATTATGGCAGATCTTGGGCTAAATTCTTGTCTGCATTATCTTAAAATTTATTCATCTGTAAGTTCTTATGACTCTATAATGTAGACCCTGTTCCCATTTCATAGAGGAGAACACTGAAGCTCCGAAAGGTCATACAGCTAGGAAGTGACATGTCTGTTTGACTCCACAGCCACTTTCTTGCCTGCCTTGTATCCTTGGGCTGGTGATGAGGATGATGAGGTTCTAGATTGGATACTTCCCATGTTATCTTAATGTTATCATTTAGAGTCTTTGAATCTTAACTCTCATCTAAAAATCATGTGAGAATGAGTCCAATCAAGGTATCTTTCAGCTCTAAAATTTTGGTAATCACTATGCATGACAGTCTTCTGCCATGTTCTCTTTGGTAAATTCTCATTACTTTTACTTCACTTCTGGAATAATTGCTGTAAAAGTAGTAGCAAGAAAAAATGTCTTAAAAGGATATGGAGGGATTGTAGTTGAACCCTGTGCTTTCCTTTGGGGTGACCAAAGATAAAAAGGGGAAATAATATATCCATTTCTCTCACCTTTAGTTAGAAACGACAGGACCAGATTCTTTAAATAATCTCTATTGAGAATAATGATGTGCCCCCACTGTTCCCAGCACTCTGAATTCATGGGTTGTCTTAATCATCAACCCATTGAAATCAGTACTTGTCCCTTCACCATCCTACAGCTGAAAAAGCTGAAGAGCAGAGTGGTGAATAGGTTGTCCGTGGACTCACCACTAGGAAGGGACAAACTTGAGCAAAACCAGCTGGTCCTGCAGCCCATTCTTCCTCTGTCTCTGGTTTGTAACCTAAAATCATGATCTAATTCATCTCTTCCATTATCCATTAGAAATATGCAGTTAACAACCTGATGATCTTGTTGATTTTGAATCATAAAACCTCCGGTCATACTTCTACAGTTTCCCTAATACCTTAAGACAAGAAAAATAAATAAAACATGGACCATCCAACCAAAGCCAACAGGGCACCAGAGCATGGAATTCTGTCTGCCCTTTCACTGTGGGCTGTCTTAATGTTTGTCCAATAGCAAACCAAAGCTTCTGGAACTAGCCAGACAGCTTTATGGTAAGGAAGGCATAGCAAACCAGCACATTCTGATTTAAGAGTTCTAGTTTGGTTCGGTGTCATCTGAGATGCAGAGCATAAGTTAGCAGACAAACATGGAAACAGGAAGATGCTTTTATATATACCTTTTAATAATGAAACTGCACTAAAAATGTCTTCCCTTCAGGGTGCAGTAACTGTCATTTTACTTGTTTGAAAATTATCTGCCTGTGTGGCGCTCGGGTCATCGTTCTGTCTTTTGTTTTATTCCAGGTGCACACATCCACTTATTCTTGTTCTCTTTGTAAAATACAGCCTGCCACTGAGCACTTCTGACCTGCAGAAAGACTGCACACTGAAAGGGCTTGGGAATCCAATACAAAATCAGGTTCAGGAGAACCCAAGGACAAGTGACCTCAAAGCAGCATGGACAACCATGTAAAATAGACTGTAGCCATTCATTAGTGGGGGGAGGGGGGAGCCAACCAGAGCCGTCAATGCTTGTCGCATCTTTTGGTGGAACCAAAGTTTGAGTATTTGTGTTTTTAAAGGACAACCGAACCCAGAGCGTGGGAAGTGCTGTTAGCCAACTGGCTGGGTGGGACATCCACAGACGGTCCCAGGAAGTCTCAGTGCTGCGCACAAGGAGAGAGAGCAGCTCTATACAGTTGTCTTTTACTTTTGAAGAAGTGATTCTTAGTGGAAAGAAGACAGAAGAACTGTCCCGGGAGTGGGGATCGTGTTTCTTTTGACAGACTGGGAAGATGTCAGCTCTACAAACCTGCTTTTCATGGCAAACTGGACAGACACACGTGGCCCCTTCCTCTCTGGTCCTTTGCCTGCTGTATGAATGAAGATTGTATTCCTCTGGAAATATTTTACAATTTAATATTGAGTGTAATTAAGAATATAATCATGTTATCAAAAATGGTATTTAACTCTGTTGTAGTTTCTTTAACATTCATGTGGATAAAAAGTCTATAATAAAAAAAAAACCTATGAAGTAATGGTTGTGTTTGTGTGGTTAAGTGCACATTTGCTTGGGGGAAACTCATGAAAGTTATTATATTTTACAATTATTTTAGCATAAAATGTTTGAATAAATTATTTTTAAAAGTAGAATTCCTTCAAAAATGATTACTAAAAGCTAAATTAGCCTCTCGCTCTAATCAGCATATGGAGACCTCTCCATCATGTTAGGATCTTTGTATAGGTTAAGTGATGTTCTAAATTCCTGCCAGGTCTTCCAACACTGTCAGGGAGAGAGTTGATGTTGTGACATTAAAACTAAGTCCATGCATTCATGTTGTGCCATACATTCAGCCTGCTGGATAGGATAAATAGAAGCATCAAAATAGTGACCCCCTTGCAGTCAAGATTTCTAAGGGAACTCTGTCCTGCAAAAAAAAAAAAAAAAAGTCCACTGTGAACAACCTCCCAACCTGAAGTTACCAAAGACTATCCTAACTGAAGATGCATCTCAATACTGACATCCTTTGGCAGATTTCAAAAGAAATTTAAAGGGCAACGCCATGATATTTAATACATTTCCCCCACCAACTCTATTATTATAAACTAGCCAATGAAGTTCCACAATTTACCTTTGAGCTACATAAATGTCTTTATCTTGGCTACCACATTTCGTTAGCTTTTCATTACTGTAATAAATATCTGAAAAAATCAACTTATAAGAAAAAAAAAGTTTGTCTTGGCTCATGGTTTCAGAGGTTTCAGCACTAATCTGTTGGCCATGCTCCCTTTGGGCCTGTGATGAAGTAGTGCATCATGGTGGAGAGTGTATGGAGAAGGAAACTGCTCACCTCACGGCAACCAGGAAGCAAAGAGAACGATAAGGGGTCAGGGTCATGTTAGCCCTCCAAGGGAATGCCCCTAGTGACCTAATCTCCTTCCACTAGGCCCTACATCTTAAAGTTTCCACCACCTTCCAAAAGCTCCACAGACTGGCCTCCACTGTTGAGAATATAAAACTTCATTGATGCTTTCCAGTTCTCCATCTAAATCCTAAGCTCCAGATCTCTCCAATCTGCACATCTCTCTCTGGGGTCATTCAAGATCCAAACTACAGTACACATTACTAAGGAAGGAAGAATACTCACTTGTGATTTTCTTCCTGTCTCATGAAGGATGAGAAGACGCATCAGGGAAGGGCTGTAAACCAAGTACTAGAATATGAGGACAGGTTTTTATTGCCTGCTAGAGGAAATTAATATGCAGATGCTGTGACAAAGGATATTCACTCTGAGCTACTCTTCCAGGGCTTGGAATGGCACATATTTTTAAAACTAACCAAAAGTGTCATTCTTTTATTTCTAATACAACTTTAAGTGTCTCAGAGTTATTAGAGCACAAATATCAGTAAATGATTTTACAGCAAATGGGAAACTAGAATCAGATAAATCAATAGCTATGTCTCTAGAGTCCTGGAGTTGTTAACCATGGCATAGCTCTGAATTGGGTTAACAGCCATGTCCGGTGCAGATAAGACCGTTGGCTTTCACTGTTGAGACTATAAAACTCCACTGATGCTTTCCAGTTCTCCATCTAAATTCTAAGATCCAAATCTTTCCCTGCTTAATATCTCACCCTGAGGGCTAGAGGAATCCTGAAGTCCTTATTCCCATAGCCTTAGAACTTCGTTTCTTAAAACATTTTTATCCGGCCCAGTCTGTGGGCTGCTACAAACACAAGAACCTAAATCTCTTCCATGCAACCATAAAGTGATACACTTTGGGAGATCCAACATATGACGTGGAAATGTGTCGTTTACTCCTGCACATTTTCTCATCAAGGATAGTGAACACCTTTCCTTATTCTTGTAATGCTCAATGCTTTTAAGCTGGAACAGAAAGAATTTCTTCCTAAAGCTGGATATGACTGGGTTATCTGAGCTGTCTTTTAGAAACAGACAGGACATCCATCTAGACTGCTGCACGGAGCTAAAAATAAAGCCACTCTTCAGAAGGACGAACAAAATTCTTGGCTCTCCAAAATGACAGCAGAAAAATGCTGTGCTCTTTTCTTTGACTATTTTGTCAGGACAAAATTCCAAGGTCAACCCAAATACTAGCTAATGAAGAATATAAACAATGCAAACAAAATTCTCTATTTTAATTTCAAATTAAATTAGAAGATCAAAAAAGACCAGAGCAAATCAAAGCCAAAAAAAAAAAAATCTGGCCCAACCAATAAAGTCTTTTCTGTTGGGGCAAACTAGACATTTCAGACTGATGCCTTCAATCCTCAGAATGCCTGAGTAATTGCATGTCTGTTTGCCACAGGCAAGGAGAGAGGGACATCACATCCCAATTTCCTAAGATTCTGCAATGAGTGTGGCTTCAGCTCTGTGGAAAACAGAAGGAGAAAGTCTGCTAGCTACAGGGGATATGGTCAAACTGACAGGAGCTCTGTCATTTAAGAATTAAGACAGCTTTGATCAGAGAAAAGCAACACTGTGCATGGTAAGAATGTGTGACCATGTCATCTAATGGGGCCCTCTGGCAGACCCCAGGCCCCAGGGGGTGAGTGCCTTGGTCTCCCTCTTCCAAGATAAGTGCACAAAGCTGGTTCACCCTACAAGGGTGAACAGACACCCCAAACCAAGTTTATAATTCTACCCTCTTTGGTGGGGAGATCAGGGGTATTTCAGCTCACCATCTTCTGCTAATCTTTAGCATGGTTTCTGTCATATTGTAGCTTCACAAAGCATTTTTTTGCCAACTGAGTTAAGGGAATCTCATTTATTTTATTTGAGTCAATCTTCGTAGCAGATCATTCTATTGTTATTGTTCCGAATTTTCTCTCTCAAAGAACGTTGACATTTCATTTGGTTTCAAGTGACCATATGTGGCAAATTGCTAGTTGCCATCCATTGGTATCCACACTCAGGTGGCAATGTATTTAAATAAAGACTGCCTTTCCTGGGCTTACCTGCAGTTAGATGTGGTCATTGACTGTGTTCTGGCCAATGGGATACAGGTAGAAACAAGGAACTTTTAGGAAGGTCTCTTCAAAAACAGTTGATTCAGTTAAGAAGTGTTTCTTTATTCCCTTCCCTTTCCTTATATGTGACATATTGGTCACAGTGATGCAAAGCTGACTAAAATATCAGGTAAAGATACAGAATGAGGATGGATCTAAATTTGGTCTGCTTCCAGGGCAAGACAGGAACTGGGTTGGCAAGGTACATTGTCCAAAGACTTAATGGATTCAGTGTAATACAAGCAGAGATGTGACCAGGTGCATAGGCAAGATCCAGCGAGGAAACAGAGCTCAGCAGGGCTGGCAAGCTCAAGAGCAGTAGGTGGTTGGTCATCATTATTCACAACAAGGAGATCCTACTACTGTTTGCATGGCATTTGTGGGCAGCTTCCAGCCTTGAGAAAACACATCGCTGAGAAGAAAGTGGGGTGACAAGAAGTAAGCCCAGTCCTAGACTCCAGGATGTGATAGGCAGAGAGCTCTGGCTCAGGGGCACAGAAGTTCAGCAAGGTAAACTTGGAAACTCAGGTGACAGCACAGGAATCCCAAGATTTGAGCTGGTAACCTCCACACAGGACCAGGAGAGAAGAGCTAAGACTTTCTGTATGCAGCCTGACTCCAGTCTTGATTTGAACTCTGAAACTGAGCTGCAGTTTGAGGAGGAGGGATGGGAAGTAAACTGATTTGACTTACCACAAAGGGTGCTGGAAAACTCTTGAGAACCAAAAACACCTTCCTGCACATGGCCATGTACTTCCATGCCAGGACGAATATACAGATAATTTAGAAATAGTAAATTCAAGTTACCTAAAGTAAATAATCATTCTGAAAAACCTTGATTCTGTACTGAATTAAGAATTTCCCTGAAAGCATTGTTAACGCCTAGAGTTTTCAATAATAAAACTCATCCAACTTTTACATCATCTCACTATTAAGGACAGTGGCTTCCTGGATGACTGTTAATGATGGTTTTCTTTATTATATTTTAGACCATTTAGCAAAGTTTATTGATTTATATTTCCTTGTAATTAGTTGTAGTGATTAAAATAGCTTTTATGGCTCTCTAGAGATTGTCTTTTTAAAAGAATTGACATTTCCCCCAAATTGTGTGCTTTAAAACATGGTTAAATACTGTTTGAATTCAGTACTAAACCATCATTGGTGAAACTGTGATTTTTATATGTTCTTTTCTCCTCCCTCTACTTATCTGGCACTATAGTACAATTACTTGGCAGCCAATAATAATAACGGCAGCCAACTTTCATCAAGTGTTTACAGGAAGCTGAACATTGTGCTAAGTGTCTTAATGCATTATTTCATTTAATCCTCCCAACAACCCTATGAAGTAGGGATGATTTAATTGAAACTTGGAGTTAAGGCACTCAGTGCATAAGTGGCAAAGCAGGAATTCCAGTATAGGGCCACTGTGACTTCAAAATCTCTGCGTTTAACCACTCAACTCCACTGCTCACTGCCAAATGAACCAAGCAGAAACCTATCTACACAGAAGTGTATCAGAAGTCCCCAGGTTGACATCATTTGAATGGTGCTGGAAAATCTCTTACCAATCTCACTTGAAGCTGAAATTCGATGCTTACATGATTACTGAAAAGATAAACACTCAAAGACAGTGTTACTCAAAAAGTAACAAAGAGCTAAAAATATAATCTCTTAGAAGAAAACATATGAGCATATCTTCTTGAACTTGGGGTTACATATAACATCAAAAGCCCTGGAGAGGAAAAAAAAGAGGTAGGTAAATGGAAAGTAATGTACAAGGATTCCAATTTCCCCACATTTTCACCAACATTTGTTACTGCCTGTCCTTCTGATAATAGTCATCTTAGTGGTGTACAAGAGTATTTGATTATGGTTTTTGACTTGTATTTACTGAAAGACTCTTGGTGTTGAACATATTTTTATGTGCATATATTTTCTGAGGAAATGTCTATTCATATCTTTTCCTATTTTTTAGTTGGATTCTTTATTATCAAGTTGTATACCTAGATGAATTCAGTACTAAGCCATCATTGGTG